CCAAGTGATACCAAATCTACTCTGTTAATACAGTAGTGTTTCTGAAATTAAAATAGCTAAAATCAGCCACAGAACAGTGTTTTCCAAAACTGAGAGCGTCCTTGTCATAAAGGCAGTTCACCTTGAGTTATTTGAAAGGACGTCTCTTGCTGGCCTACCTCATTTGCCACTTTCAGAAAGCCTGGTGCAGAGTATTTGGGTCATAGGAGGAATGCTCATCAATTAAATGTATGATAGTATTTTGCATTGGATGAACTAATATGTCAAGGAGATGGGCAGGACCTCATGTTTGGGCTTTTGACAAATCAGCAAATGTTTAATCTCAAAATGTGCCGGTTCTCATAAATAATGCAGCGATTACTGAGATAGAACTCTGTGTGAATCTTTTCCCAGGAACTGCAGTTGGGAAAGTAAAGTCGACAAAATCACTTGCTTTCAGGTTGCATCCTTAGGAAGCCAATTTTTTGTTTTGTACTTTCATTATCTCAGAACACCTAGCAAAGGAATCCCTGACATCGTACTTTGGAAAGAAAATTATATTTTGGCCGTTTCCAGTTTATCAGAATCTGCCTCAGATGCGGTGATAACCTTTTCTGATTGTTTTCTTTGCATTTTATTTTTAGGTTGCTCAATGTGGAAATATATCAGGGATTTTTCATTTGCAAAATACGCATTTTCTGAATCCGCACCAATGCACAAGGAAATAATAAAAGAACTACAGCACTATGATTCACAGAATCGTTTGCTGTAGTTATCCCTTCAGTTTGGGCTTCGTGAGAGCATACAACATGGGATTTGCAGACGTGTGAACAGTGAAGAAATTTCAGTGATGTGTGTACAGTATGTGTAAATATGTCTGTTACCAAGGTGCAGGCTCTCTTCCCATCATTCAAGAAGTGAGTGCAAGATTTGAAGGCAAGAGCATGGAAGTTGTTCTTAGGCAGTCAACTGCAACGCAATCATGAGAGATAATGTCAGTAGGGTCAATGGAATGTCCTAGTGAAATAATGAGATGGCATTTCAGTTAGCATTACATAAATGACAGTCCATTTGACCCTGGTTCTAAAATAGACGGTCACTCAAAATATGATGAGGGTGGGCACAAGTTCCACGTTTCTATCCTGTGCTGTCTCACCTTGTCCTATTTGATAGTATCCACAAAAAATAATAATGTTCCTTCATATTTAACACATTGTGTTCATAATGATATACCTAAGATTTGTTTACTGTTTGAAGCACACAAGGAAGTAATGTACACATCAATCATTACCTGGAAAATTTGAGGCTTGTGTTGACTGCCAAGAAACTTGATTTCTAATCTTTTGAACAATGTATGCCCATTGAATCCTATGATATTTGAAGAATTTAAGTAGTACATAAATATAGGCTCAAAGTATATGACTGTAGGCTGAGTTGAATGCAATTGGAAATTTTATGGCGCCATTTAAAGTCTCAAAAATAGAACTGATGTGCAGTTATTGTGAGTCATAATGGAATAGATTGTCCCAGTTTACTGCTATTTAATTAAACATCTGAGTACAATACTTGGCGTTTGATTTTAAATACCAATGGGATTGGGATCAGACGAAGGCAGACACTAAAAATAGCTCCATGGCCCCTGTGACTGTGTCTCTCTCTCTCTCTCTCCCCCTCTCTCTCTTCTTCCCCCCCCTCACACACACGCACACACACACACACACACACACAGTATGGGTGGGTGATCAATTAAAGTAGATAAGGGACAAATAAGGATTTTCCAATTGTGTTCCGTAGACAGTGGTTGCCAATTTAACTGCTGGGAGGAGGCCTCCTGGCAGCAGGTTCGAAGCCAATGCTCCAGGCAAGCTGGACACCTGTTTCCTGGCTGTAAAAACCATTTTTTAATTAAAAATTTGAAAAACATTGAAGAAAGGGTGCCTCCATTTTGAAGCACCATCTTTTTTTGCTAACCTGTCATCACGCAATGCTGCTACTTCCAAGCAGGAAAGCCTCTGATTGGCCCTCAGGCTTTGCAAGCCCCCACCCTATCCTCTGGGCAACAATTGGCAACCATAAGGAAATGACTGACTGACTGTTTCTAACACAGGACAAGCTTGAGATATAAACATCTGAAATTAGGAGCAGTAGTCGGATAGTTAGCCACTTGAGACTGATCTGCCATTCAGTAAGATCTTGGCTGAGCTGATTGTTGCCTCAATTCCTTCCTACCCCCAATAACCTTGGACTTCCCTGTTAGTGAAGAATATGTCTAGCCCTGCCTTAAAAATATTCAGGGAGTGGTGGAAAAACAGTTCCAAAGACACTCGATCTGGTGAGAGAAAGAAAAAGAAATCCTCCAATCTCTGACTTAAATGGGAGATCCCTTATTGTCAAACTGTCTCCACATTTCAGCCTGACAGTAGAGTTCAGGAACCTACAGCAGGAAGTTATGCTTTTGGTCTTGATTTCACTGGGGTGATGGAAAACCAGCTACTGAACAGTCAAAACTCTTCCTATCTAGAAAACGTGGAGCTAGTTTCAACAGTGATGGAGGACAGATTGGCCATTTGTTATACACTTGCCTAATTTAAGCAGAATGTGCTTTCTGGGTGAGTAATCTGTTACTCCTCATTTTACATCAATGCCAATTGATGCCCTAATTTGGTAATCAAGTTTCTTGGCATTCAACACAAGCCTCGAACTTTCCAGGTAATGATTTGTTTGTGTCACGATATTTGCTCATATTTATAATGGTAATTTTCAATGTAAACTGTTGGCTATGATGGTTTAGTGATGAACTAAACAAATCAAAAAACTTCTTCTTGTAAACCTTTCCATGTCATTTTTCTCTGAATTTTATAATGTCCACAGATTTTTGACCAAAAAAGTGTGTTTAGTGAATTTATGTAATGAAATATAGCCATTCAAATGAATGTCTTCCATGCTTTTGGAACTCCTTGCCACAGAGAACTGTGAGGCCAGAGTCATAGGGCTGAGATAGATATGATTCTTGGTCGGTAGAGGGATCATGTGTTATGGGGAAAGGCAGGAAGGTAGATGCGAGGAGTGTCGGATCAACCATCATCCATTTGAATGGCAGAGCAGACTCGAGGGGCCAAACAGCCTACTCCTGTTCCTACTTTTTATGGTCTTTTAACGTACCCACTAAAGATTTGGTTTTCAAGCCTCCAGCTATCTACAAAGCTTGAACTTTGAATTTAAAAAAATCAGAGAAGTTGTATAGAATTTCTGATCACATTAGTGTATTCTGAGCATTCCGTGCACTCTGAGTAAATATCAATTGTAGAATTTCCCTGTATGCATTATAAAGTGTATGATCTGAGGCAGAAATATTGACCTCATCTAGTCAGGATTTACCTCCTCCAAAAAACTTCCAAATGATTTACAGATCGAATTATCAAGCATTTATTTTGGGCAAGAGTTACTGAAAATATGAACTTTTCTGTTATGAAGTATACAGACATGCTTTTTTTGACTGCAACTTTCCTTTCCAACAATCAACATGACTATTTATTAATAAACAAGTTATTTTTCTGCAATTGAAATGTTGAAAATACGGTAAAATAATGTTTCTTTTCTAGTCTATTTTATGAATTAAATGATAATTTGAAGAAATTAAATACTGGGCAATTGCATAAACTATTAACTTTCAGACATTTTATTAAGTGTTTTTAGTTTATGCAATATAGTGCTTATGATGTTAGCCTTGGGTTATGGTTTTAAGAGGCTTGAGCACATGATCGAGGCAGACACTTCAGTGCAGCACTAAGGGAGTGCTTCACTGTTCAAGATTTGCCATGAAACTATAAGGTCCCAGAACCATGTGTCCCAAGATTCCAAACTGCTTGATCCTGGGATGCCTTTCTAATTGCTGCTAGAACCCAGCATCTATCCAATTACTACCAAAACCCTATTGGGCCACTTCTGATATATCAGAGAGACTAAAGATATATTTCGCAAATAAATCTTGGCAATTGTAAATGAAATTATTTTTCCAAGAAAATCATCTCAGAAGAATTTGATCAGTTAATGCTTTGCTTTGATAGAAATGACTGAGTGAAGAGTAGGAGGGTAATTTATTAATATTTCTTGAGTACTTTGTTGCATTCAAATGAGATGTGAGAATTGGTACTGCAGTATTATCATCTTATCTCCAAGTTGTGTTTCCATCTAGGAAAACACTACCCTTATACTTCAGTCTTGCAGAATTTGCTGTGTTAAACAAACACATGATTACTCTAATGAACATTGGTTGCACAAAAGTCCATATAGTTATAAAGCATTCAGGAAAACTCAGAAACACCAAAGTTGATCTCATAGACCTTTGGGCTTTAGAACTCCACTGCAAGGAGATATGGTTAGTAGCAGCAGGTTCCAGCAAGCTAGATTCTGGAGCCAAGTTAAAGAGAGGAGGAACTCAACTTGATTGACAAAGATAGTAGCCAAACAGGAAGCATCAGAGGATTCACAGAAATAAGGGTTAGCAAAGCCTAATCAACCATCTCAGAATTCCAAACATAAGTTTGCAAAGCATAAACAACCTATGAAAGTAATGTAATTGTTTCAACTTTTATTCATTATTCTTGATGCCTACCAATTTATAATTTGTAGCTTCATGATGAATGGTTTTCACTTGCTGTCTCCTGACTGATACCATGCTTAGTTGCTCAGGTCTGATGTGGTGCTGCCTTTAGCTCAGATTCCATTTTTGTATCAGTTGTAAGTGTGGCTAAAAAACCAATACGTGGCTCCCAAGGTATGATTGAGATATGCATAGTATAGGCATGCATAATACAGATTTTTTTTTAGATATATAAAGGAAAATACAGGCAGACACTCATGATTTAGGTAAGTGGAAGTACATTGCTAATTGCAGGAACAATTAGGTAACTTTTTTTAATAGCTGTAGTTTACGTTTAGATTTGCAAAAGCATAATTCATCCTTTGCAAATATATTGCATAAATTAGTGTTAAATAAAACTTCTGTGTTTCTTTTGCAGGCTTTAGGAAATCTTTACTTTCTTCACGAGTCTTTGAAAAATACCTATCAATTTGATTTTAAAGGTAATCCTTACTGTACTACTTATTGTAAGATAGCACATAGTTAGTGAGCCCAATTCTATTTTCGCATTGAAGTTAATGCAGCTGGTGACTTTGGTGTTTTAATTGGCTTCAGTTTAAGTGGATCAGTGTCCTTTAACTTATATTGACTTCTGACATTTGACTTATTGCTTAACATCATGAAACAATAGCTGCTCAAAGCATAAGTTACATTCCTCACATACATTCATGAACATTTTTAAAAATAGTACATATATTCACAGGACAACACGGGTGTCACGGCAATTGCCTTTGAAAAGGTGATAACGAACCAACTTCCTTACAAATGAATAGTTTTTTAGGCTATTTCAGAGGGCACTACATGTGGGTTCCTGTGGGTTTGAAAGTCACATAAAGGTCAGGTAAGTTAAGGCAGCAGATTTGCTTCTCTAAAGATATTACTAATCCATATGTGTTTTTATGACAATCTCAGGCTTCATAGTCATCATTACTGATATTAACTTTTTATGCCAGATTTAATTAATTCATCAAACTTAAATTCCCAGATGCTGTGGTGGGATTTGAACTCGTGTCCAGGTCATTAATCCAGGTTTACCACTCTATTAGTATAACCAATATATCATCATACCCGAGAGCGTACAATATTTTCTGGAACAATGTGTGTAGGCAATTATTTTTAAAATGAGTGAACTGATTCTTGAAGTTGTAACGCAACAGAGATTAAAAAGGATGTTTTAGTTTAAAAGAACATCATTCCATCTGGCATTAAAAAAAGTGCTTTAGTCTACTAAGCATCAGAAATGAAGATAATATTATAAAATCAATTAGAATTCACTTTAATATAAATTCTGGTGATTTGCAAATGTTTGTTACATGCCCTGTTATTATTCCATAATGTAACGTTTCAAGACTGTAAAATGAAATTATAAGATGTTGGTTTGATTTGTTTTGTTACTGAACACTGCAGATTCAAATTTACTATATTGCCACTTCTATATTAAAGTATAATATTTCAGCAAATATGGATATTTCCTTTTGGTCTAATGATTTGGAATGATCTACTAACCAATTATTGATACGTACAGAATTGACATTTCATTCACATCCAATAAATAGAACTGCAGATCAAGATCCAATATTTGAATGTATGGTTGTTGCAAAGCAAACAAATTCTCCTGTTCATTGTTGGTGCGTAAACCAAAACAGCTTTCTTATGTGAGATCTTATTTTGTGCAGTCAAGAATTCATCCGCTTATAACCCTTCTTAATGTTGAAGAGCTGAATTTTTCTGTGAAAAGTGGGGTTAAAGTGGGAGTCAAACCTGCAGCAGCAGCAGCTTGACCCTGGGGTGACTATCAATTAATCGGAGGGTTGTCAGCTCAGTAGCTACAGCATGGATACCTGGAGAGGCAGTGTCTTGGGTTTGGGAATACTGTAACCTACTGTGGGGTCACACTAAGTCCTGGAACCTGCTGCAATGCCACCAGAGCTTGCCTGCCAGTTTCCCAACCGTGTTGAGTTGGGAAAATGTTATTTATCAAAGTGTCCGTCAGCCTTTCAACATTTTATAAAAAAGCTCCTAATATCTAAAGCCCCCCTCAATAGCAGTCATTTTCCAGTCATGGAAATATTCTAGGCAATTTATAAACAAAAAAAAATTTATTGGTCCTTTCTATTGCCATATCTACTGAGGGTGCCACCTAATAGTTTGTGTGTTTGCAATCTAACTTCTCTCTGCATCACATAAGATGTACTAATGGTCAATTTAAATATTGTTATGTTAGTAGTTAATCTAATTGTGAAATTCCAGAAGTATGTTTCTTTTTTAAATTCTTACATTAATGACATCAACAATCAATGCATATGACCCTTTTTTTATGGTACAGAAAGTGAGCCGTTGGTTCCAATCACTATTAGATGGCCAATTTCATTGCACTTTTCCCGTACCAGTTCAATTATTTATCTGCTTCCCCTTGAGTATGTTATCCTACCCCATACCTCAAGTCAGATTCTCTTCAACTGTAACTCCCAGCACATGCTCCAAGCATCATAATACACCTCACCTCCTTGTGATGCTGCCACTCCTGATACTGACTGCCTGCATTTTATTCAGACTCATCAACAGCGTTGTTAGCACAAGCTGGATTTTGAAAACATTGAAATAAGAAGGCAGCCCAAAATTTGCATTGCAACCTGCATTACAATCAAAAGATGCAGATTAATTACACATCACAATCACCGTGCCTATTCTTGAGGGTGATCAAATTTAGCCTCCTTACCCTATTATCTGTATGATATTTGAGCCAGTCGTAATTTCCTTCCTAGGTTGTAATGTCTAAAGTGTGTTGTTAAAACTGTATTTTGAGATAAAAAAAATACAGCTATATGTTAAGGAGGAATCTTGTTGACACTAAAATGCTTAGAATCACAATGAAACAGGGAGGCATCTTCTCTCTTCAGCCATATTTTCTGTTGAAAGAAAAAGGCTTTGCATCAAGGGTCGTCCTGACTTCATGTGAAGAAAAGATTAACTAGTAGTTTAAAATAAAACTGACCCTACCTGTAGGGATTGACTGGAAATTTCTTCCAGGTTCCTCTACTACTGCTGTAACTTTGGCAGGAACTTTACTTGCATAGGAAGTGGGATGTGTACCAATTTTTTGGCAAAGATATAGCAGAGAGTGGAGGAATCTCAAAGGAAATTCCTGCTGATTGTGAAGAGGCAGTTTCCTCTTCAACTCAATTGTTGTAGAGAATTTCTTTTGAGCAGGAATAAAGAATATATCAAGAGTATTGACATTTGTTGAAGCTGGGATCTATGAGCGAACATATGGAGCTGGTTCAAACTGTGTACACAGCATGTTAATTTGAAAATATCTACAGCATGTTCCTTACAAACACCATCATGCATCATAAAAGATTTTTTTAGCACTAGTATACCGTAGACAGACAACAGAATCTACGAATTATGTTCCATTAAGAATAATCAAACATACAGTTCTCATTTAAAAACAGCCATTTCTTAGGTGAAATTTATATTGTGTGATTTTTTTTTTCTTCAAGCTAAAAAGTTCAAGAAAGTAACGGGTAAAGAAATCTACTCAGAAACGTTAGAAAGCACACCCATGCTGGAAAAAGAGAAATTTCCACAAGATTACTTCCCCGAGGTAGGTTGCTCAGTTTTTTGAATCACATAATACACAAAGTCAACTTGTAAAGTCATAAAAAATTATCATTGTCCCTGTACCTCCAGGAAATCATGTCATTTAATGGTCTGTCAAATAAAATAGATGCCTTAAGATGATTTGCGCTGCAAGTTTGGGAAGAGCTGCAGGATACATCACTTAAGTTTGTTTTGCCATTGTCCTGTGAATTATTTTCATTGTGACAGTGATGAGGTTTATAAGATTATTGTTTTTGGGACTATAGCTTTAAATTTAGGGTTAACAAAAGGAATTATATGACTTGTTTTGAAGTCTACTTGACAGTAAGTTGGGACGGTTGGATTATTAGAGATGAAAGGAAGGTTTGTAACATTTTACTGGGAAGAAAATGCAAGGGAATTGTAAAGGAAAAATTAGAGTTAATGTTTCGGGTCCGGTGACCCTTCTTCTGAGGAAGTGCCACCAGACCCGAAACGGTAACTCTGTTTTTTTCCTTCACAGATGCTGCCAGACCTGCTGAGCTTTTCCAGCAATGTTATTTTTGTTCCTGATTTACACCATCCTCAGTTCTCTCAGTTGTTCTTTTGCAAGGTAATTGTACTTGGAAACAATGTCTGTAGTTTCTCGATTTGTAATGAATAAACTCTGAGTTTTCCAAACTTCTAGAAAGGTGCTGAAGTATCAGATTGTAAGCTGTTATACTGTATGTTGTCCATGTGCTTCTAAGATGAAAGAGAGCTGAGAACAAATATAGCTAATTAGCATTAGGATTCAAGATTAATGTGTTCACATTGCTATGCGGAAGCCATTTTTGAGATCAGGTTACGGGCTTCCCTTCAAATCACTGTTTATCTTCAGAAAGACAGCAGAGAGAGGAACTGCTTGGCTTTTTGAGCTACTGCAGCTGGATGCAGGAGGCAAACAGTCTTGAGTCGAAGAGCCACATCCTCCAGCTATACGTGAATTCTAACACACACATATGTATATAAATATATGGGGATTAGGATCCTTCCTCTGTCTACTGATACATAAAGCAGACAGAGCACATACTTACATCTATTTCAACAGCTAGCTGTTTCTTGGAACATGTCACCCGCAGCTAAATCTAGAGACATGCCTTTCCATAACATGCATGGCTGACCATGAGACTCACAATCTTAGTGCCTGCCATTGTCAGATTGAAAGCATTTAAAGATTGATACTTAACCAGTCTGACCTTGTTATTAAAGCACTGTTTGTGGCCATCATGTCCTGGAGTAAGACTTGAAAGCAGACGTCTTTGCTCAGAGGTATGAATGCTACCTCCTGTTCCATGAGACCTCGCCCATCCAAATATATAAATGAGTATAAAAGCAGAATGTTCATTTCTGTAGTTTAATGCATGTACAAAAAAGTAAGTAGGATTTAGCCAACATTTTTTCTTTTATAATAAAAGTTTTGATATATGGAATCTTCCTCTTTCAGCTAATGACTGGAAGTTCAAATTCCTTACTAAAAGTTATCAGTCTGTACAGAATTTGTAACATTGTGTAACTCGCATAAAGGAAACAGCCTGTATTCTATTGCATTAACTTGGATACTGAAAAATAGTAGTAATAAAAAATCACTAAAAACAAAACTGTTTTAAAAATCTATTGATGTTGGAGACCTTGACTTGAGGTCATATGACATTGTTTTGTGGGTCATGCAGTAACTCACAGCAGCATAACTGGGGAGACCAAAGTGATAGCATGTGTACATTGTGCATACAAATACAGTACTTGTTTGTTTGCTTATATTTTTTCAACTGCATTCGCTAATTGAAATCTGCAGTGAACATGCTTCTACAATTTAGGCCTGGCATCCTTTCCTTGCCAATTACATTTTCACAAAACTTCCACACTATGCTTTTAAATTTGTCCAAAAATCTCTTGCATCATTTTAGAGTACCATATAAATCAAAAATTGTCCTATTATATCGATAATTGAATATTGTTTTCAATAAATAAGGCAGAATAATTATAACTGGTAAATATATCAGACAGAGAACATTGTTCTCCATCTTAGTAATAACCTGTTCCATTCTGGAACTGATAGATATGCAAACGATCCTCTCAATTGGTTTAAGACTGATTTCTTTCTCTTTATTACTGCCGCTTAAAGATGATCTAAAAGTAATTACATTGATTGAGGTATAATGCAATCCAAAATAATTACAATTCACTGCATATAAAACTAACAAAACTTTTCATGGTGATTTATTGTACCTCTTGGCTGTATATGAATCTTAAATGATGCCTTTGGGACCAGCACTTGAGATAATGTTAGGCTATTTAAAAAGAACAGATTTGTGTAGTCTATCAGACCTGAATAATTTTTTGCCAGTAGTGAGAAATTGGTTGTTATCATACATCATAGATACTGCTCAAAGCTCTTATGAAAGATGAATTAATTTCACTAATGCTTTAATGTGAACCTTTCATGAACAAAGCTGTACAAGGATAACCTTGTAGGGGTCCCCAGTTTCTCAATAGTGATTTATGTCATCTTTTAATAAAGGAAACAGCCTGTATATAATCCATCTGCCGTGCAAAGCAGGGATTCTGACTTACGCTACATGGGATTTTTCATTTCCCTTTTTATTTCACACTCTAGACTGATGAAAGGCTTCAAGGAAGACTAATATAGCCCAGTTTACACTCAGTGTTGCTAAATTGATTGTAATTCCAGCTTTAAATTATACTGAACCCCTTCCCCACCTTCCTCTGTAATTCACATCAAAAAGATGGATTACTCCAGAAGAGTACTGAATGTATGGAATAAAAATTTGTGGGGCCATTTCTCTGTTTCAGCTTTGACTAGAGTCATACAGTCATACAGCAGGGAAATAGACCCTTCAGTCCAAGAAGTCTATACCAACCATTATCCCAAACTAAACTAGCCCCACTTGCATGCACTTAGCCCATATCCCTCCAAACCTTTCTTATTCATGTACTCATCCAAATGACTTTTAAACATTGTAACTGTACCCATATCCACCACTTTCTCTGAAAGTTCATTCCACACACAAACCACTGTCTGTATAAAAAAGTTGCCCCCGATTGTCTTTTTTAAATCTTTTTCCTCTCTCGCCTTAAAATTACGCCCCGTAGTCTTGAAATCCTTCACCCTAGGGAAAAGACACCTTCCATTCACCTTATCTATACCCCTCATGATTTTATAAGCCTCAACCTCCTACGCTCCAGTGAAAAAAGTCCCAGCCTATCCAGCTTCTCCTTATAACTCACACCTTTCATTCCTGGCAACATCTTGGTAAATCTCTTCTGAACCCTCTCCAGATTAATAATTTCCTTCTAAGAGGGCGACCTAAACTGTACTCCCGAAGAGGCCTCACCAATGTCCTGTATAACCTCAACATGACATACCAATTCCTATACTCAAAGGTCTGAGCAATGAAGGCAAGCATGCTGAGCAACTTCTTAACCGCCCTGTCTACATTTGACACAAACTTCAAAGAATTATGTACTTGAACCCTTAGGTCTCTTGCTTCGACAACATCGCACCCTGGTAATGATCTCCTACAACCTCTTCCGTCCAACAGAAGATACAGAAGCCTGAACACATGCACAAGCAGTTTCAGGAACAGCTTCTTTCCAGCTGTTATCAGGCTGTTGATTGGACTCTAGCCTCAAATAATGTAACCTGTGTGCCTCTTAGTCTTTTTGATCTATACATCCTTTGCTTGCTGTGATCTGCCTGTACCACTTGTAAACAAAGCTTTTTACTGTATTTCGATACACGTGACAATAAAATCAATCAATCAATCAATCAACTACATAAGGTCCTACTTTTAGTTATATAAATCCTGCCATTGTTTGTTTTACAAAAATGCAATTTCTCACATTTATCCAAATTAAACTCCATCTGCCACTCTTCAACCCATTGACCCAATTGATCAAGATCGTTTTACAATCTTAGATAACGTTCTTCACTGTCCATCATAACACCAGTCTTGGTGTCATCCAAAAAGTTACTAACCATGCCTTCTATATTCTCATCTAAATTATTTATACAAATGACAAACAAAAGTAGACTCAGCACAGGCTTCACCTCCACACCATCACTCTGTGCCTCCTGTCATTAAGCCAATTTTGTATCCAATTGGAAACCTCACCCTGAATCCTATGTGATCTAACTTTGCCAGTTAGTCTACCATGTGGAACCTTGTCAAAGGCTTTCCAAGTAAACAATGTCTACCGCTCTTCCCTCATCAATCTTCTTGTTTACTTCCTCAAAAAACTTAATCAAGTTTGTGAGACACTATTTCCCTCATACAAACCATGCTGACTAGTCCTAATCAGTCCTTGTCTCTCCAAATGCAAATAAATCCTATCTTTCAGAATCACCTGCAACAACTTACTCACCACTGAAGGTGGACTCGAATGTCTATAGTTCCCAGACTTCTCCTTACATCCCTTCTTAAGCAAAGGCACACTCTGCAGTCTTCTGGCGCGTCACCTATAGTAATAGATGATACAAATATTTCTGCAAGGGACCCTGCAATTTCCTTCCTAACTTCTCACAATACCCTGAGATACCCCGGATCAGGAGATTTATCCACCTTTACATTTTCTAAGACATCCAGTAATTCCTCTTCTGTATTGTGAACTGTTTTCAAAACATTAGTATTTATTTCCCTGAGTTCGCTAGTCTCCATTTCTTTCTCCACAGTCTTTTATAAAACTGAGGAAGAAGTAAACACACAATAAATGACTACTTTAGATCTTGGATTTGTCGATTTCGTTGTAATTCTACAACAGCCAGTTTGAAGTTCATTTAAGACCATAATAAGTTCATAAGATATAGGCCATTAATGCGTCTGTAACTCTCTGACCAACCACTACGAGGCGCATGAGTAAAGATTTGATTGTCTTGCCTTTTCAGTTTTCTTTTTCTCAGATGAGCAAAAAAACTTACACAAAATGAAGTGATCATCAGTTCAAAAGTAAAAATCTGTTGTGGAA